ATCCGTGGTCGCACACTGGTCGTTCGGTCGCAAATGCGTCTTTCGAGTGCCGTACTTTGGGGATTTGTATAGCTTTAACCCTTTGTCGTAGAAAGTTAATACGAGGTTTAGCGTGTAGAATAAATGCCGCCAATGCACCCACGGTGAAAAAATTAACGGGTTAGATATATTGGTTTTTGTTTTATAGCGGTTTGAATGAAATTGTCCGCAGACTGGCTACACCACCCTAGGCCTGGTGAGTTGTCCGTGTAGTCGAATTGTCCATCAGCCCTAAACGGCTATGACAGTCACTGTACCAAAAATTGTACCCCGATTCGGCTGGTATTAAGTTGACGCATGTTATTTAGTAACGTTTTTATGTGAAATGTTTGACTGTGGTTCGGTACCTGATCCGATAATACGGTACATAATTGACTCATATCACGAGATATTTCAACTGATGTTTCAATTGTCACAGGACCTAAAATATCTATGACAGTCCCTGTACCGTCACGGTACCCCGATACAGGTACTGGTAAGTCACCGCCGGTATGTTAGTCGTTGGTCACCGCATATGATTTTTGGGGAATTGTTCTGCGTGTCCATATATTTGAGCATTGCTCTCTTGTTTGTATATAGATCATATATGCTGCTATTTATACACAGGAAGCTCCTTAGAGTACATAATAACAATGAGATTATTGATTAACAACTATATTTGGGAAACGCAACTGACATTGACAAATAACACACGGAACCACGAAAATGAGGGTATATTTATAACCACGCTTGAATATCTATCCTCTTGCGCAAAAGAAGTGTCTGAGCGTCGGCACAAATTGCAATTGTTATGTTGTTGTTTGCTCAATGCTGATTGGTCATTGTTACAAAAATAAACAAGGAAATCGATCCGTGGGAATATTCATTAAGTCTGTCCAATGACATTAAACAACATGATGCGCAACTCCGGCATTTTTGTCCGAAGATCGTATTCGATAGCACGCTCCAATGCACATACTTGACGAGACGAAAACGAGCGGATGTGTGCTGCTTTCAAGGCGTAGCACGAATGGTGTTCGTGCCTGCTTTGACAGTTGTTGTCGATTTTAATGATATTTTTGAAAGTTGGGGTAAAAAGAAATCGGTAAAAGGTAAGGTGAATACTATTGTTGTATATCACACCCGGGCATCGCACTGTTAAGTACATGTGGGAAAGCCAGCCTTTGTCAAATACTACGAAGTTATTAATTCAGTACGGTACGTAGTTGCCCATTTGCCGAAATTACATATTTACTTACTCCTTATGGTTTCAAATAGTTCATGCACCTCCAGTTAGATTTTTTTAATCAGTGAGGATATATACTCATTGTTGATTGCTGCTCATTGTAACATACTATTACGCATTCACTTTTATTTGCGTATTGAATCAAAGTGTTAACAAGTTCACCTAACATTTCACTCATACCGGTCTATATTGTATAGTCTGATTTCTCAAGTATTTGGAGCCACGAATGCTTGTAATTTTCTGACTAAACCCTTTTATTAGTTGGTTTATTTTCCAAAATTCAGTAAAATATTTTTTAAATAAAACATGAGATATTGGATTTATTAGCTTTTCCATTCTGAATCATATAGACTGCTTTATTTATTCTTAACGAAAATTAATAAATCTCCTCTCTTTCTTCAGATGTGAAAGTTGTGGACAAACCTGTCTAAGCATTGTGAGACTCTTGCAGCACAAGAGGCAATAGCAGAAATAGTAAGTATATCAATCAAGAAATTAAGCCGACATAAAGCAAAACTTTCAACTATTCGTCTAATCTCAATTTCCTATTATTTATTCACAGGACAACTATAGCAGACGGGGAGATATCAGAAGTCTGGCGACATATCAGTGAGAGTGTGATTCCAAGAAATACAATGCAATTGAAAATAGAAAATTGCAATAGAAAAACAACCTATGGAGGCATGCAAAGACATTTGACCCTCCGGTAGAGTTGTGTATGGCCCCCACATCCTGCAGGGCTTGAAGAAAATAACTAAAAATTCCAAAGCGTAAGATTGCATAAGCGGTCTTATTTGTAAAAAGGCACAAAACACGCCAGACATACTTAAAACAGCTTTGGAAATGAGGATTACGGGTACCTCACTGCACCTGTGTTATATTTGGTTCATCAACTTTTGGTAGTACTATAGAAGAAATTCCGGAAGGGGTATAATCATCATTCATGGTAAAATACTATCATATATTTTTTGAACAACTTCAATCTAGACCAGGGATCTCAAACTCGCGGCCCCAGAGAACTTCCAGTGCGGCCCTCGAACGCTTAACAATAATTGTAATAGTATTTTGGAAGTTTTTTTTTTATCTAAATGTAATAGATTTTTCAAACCTTCTAAAGTGAAATTGATTATTCACACAGAAAACAATTTACTGAAAGTAGTTTTGGAATATTAATTTTTTTTGTCCACATTTTGACCCAATTAAGAATACACATCAAGCTAGCAAAAGAATACTTGAATAAAACACTTGAGTAATTAAATTAAACGCAAAGTACACGAAGAAGGTGGCATTTTCGAAGAAAATGGGAGTTGTAACATTTCTGCTCTTCACAAAATTCTGAAGCACATTGTTTAATTTGTCATATTCCCATCAATACAATCAAAAAACACAATAAGCTCAGCAGTCAATATGACAAATTCGAAGACCAACTTCGAACAGAAAATTTCCATGTGTTTGTATATTAATATAATTATACAACGACTTAGTTACTAAAAATCAATATCAATAATAATTCAAGCAATCCTATGCCACGCAATGTAGTGCGAAATGTCTTGTCGAAAAAATCTGTCATTTGTTTTTTTACTGATTTATACATGAAATGATAAAAGTAACTTTTTTGCATTACTGGAATTAATTAAACATTCGTAAAGATCCAGATAAACCCATGATCATGTGGCCTCGTTAGTTAGAGTTGGTACTATAAAATCATTTCAGACTGGCCTTAGTATGCTGGTGACACAAAAAAGATGCCAAACGCCAGGACGAATGTAATTATTAAAACATTGAGTTTATACTGTAGTATTTTTGTTAATTTTAGGTTCATATATTTAGATTAAGTTATTTTTAGTGTATGTATTATTCTTTCCTTATTCAAAGCTTGTTCAAAAATGATTTTGATGGTTGTACATAGAATTTTACGATTTTTTATAATAAATACTGTAACTTGCAAATGTTGCAATAATAGTGGAATGCAAATATTAATATGTAATTGCATTTGAAATTGAAGAAAATAATAAAACTTAATCCAACTGTTTAGTTGCATCACAATATATGTCACAAACTAAAACTATCTTAAAAATATCTTTTAAGTATACATTATCAAAAACTGTTTGCGGCTCTTTTTACAATTTTCAAAATGCAATGCGGCTCTCGAAAACCCATGAGTTTGACACCACTGATCTATTCTAGACGATTCAAGCATTGCTTTGGGAAATTATATCACTTCAATTAAATTGAAATAATCTCGCTATATTAAATACAAAATCGTTGCTATCATAAAGGTAAACCAATTCAGCCACTCGAAACATATTGGCCTTCACAAAGCAATGGAGGCAAAATTGAGAGTTCATGAGCTATGAACATTTGTTCTTTTCTTTGTCTTGAACTTTCCATACTCCACAGCCCCTATTATTTTTTTTTAATTTTAATTACCATGTGATGGTCATACATATCTTTAACTTGTATTTTCTGTCATGATGTATTATCTCAATGTGCCAAACTATTAATTTGTGTGCATATTTTGCTTCCAGATGACATAAATGTATTGTCATGTTTATTATCTCAGCTTGGAGTATTGACAAGAAAAAGGTGCCAGTAAATTAGGTAAAAAAATTTTCAACTCATTGTTATAATCAGAATTCACAATCAATAGGAATTATAAACAGCCAACAATCAGTGAGAATTATATGCGAAATCCCTCAGAATAAATTTGTCTAAAATCGGAGGAAGGCAAAAAATATAGGTAGTTTCCATTCACACAAGCATTTCAAGAAGACTTGCTCGAGCCAAACTAAATGAGCATCGTCAGGTGATCGGTAAGGCTGCAAGTTGAATTCAGCCCTGCAACCGCCTGCATAGAAGATAATATTAATTAGTGGGCTATGAGCTAAATTCCTAAATTTAAACAAACCTATCTACGATGTATTATGTACCAGCAATGTTACCTACGATTAACTGAATATGTAATATGTCTAATAAATTCACCTACAAAAGCAAGTTCGATAGGTGCAAACTTTGTGTTATGGAATTGTATCGCAGCACAGTTTTGTATGACACCCTCTTTGAATGAAATTTCAATGATTAAGCGCAAACAATAAAATTACTAACTTTGAACTTTGTCATTATCTGCAAAATGTTCCACACAAATCTTTCCGCTATCGCGTTTGTAATCTTCTCTGATAAAAAAAAACGTCTATGATGTCCAGAATTGCTCTTTACAGCTTGCCTGTTATTCCAGCTTTCCAAGTAAGCAAAACTTCTTAGATATAGAGATTATTTTGTTTCGTTACAGGCGCAAAAAGGCAGGTACTACACGTAAAAAAGACGCCGAGTAGCAAAAGCGAGCGGAAAACGGACGCGAAAGGCGACGAGAAATATGTGCATTGGAGCGTATCATGAAATACAATGTTTTGCCTGTAGTCTTATGGAGTGACGTCAGAGTTGCCTATCATGTTGTTTAATGTCATTGGTCTGTCGAACCCAATTTATACCTTACCTTCACCACCATATAGCACTAGAGAGCAAATTCTTTTGTTCATATTTTCTGTTACTTCCTTGTGAAAGTGGATTGCGACATTTTGCTGTTTTGGATCAATCGTTTCTATATTTATAGGAATGTCGTCTTCGCCCACGCGTTTTGAAACAGAAGTGAACGTTGCGAATATAATATTACTTGCCAAGCGTCGTAATTTTACATGCCAAGCTGTTGATAAAAAAATTAAATCCATAAACCATTCCCTTTTAACAGATAACTAATTGAATTAATAGAAATGAAATCGCCAGTGTGTGCGTTGTTGTTATTGACATTCATATCCAGCACGATGGCCCATGGAATGATGGTTGGGGGATTCACGGAAGCAAAGGATCCTACAGATGATGTGGTTGAACTTGCCAAGCTGGTGAGTATTCTAGAATTTTCGGATTAATTCTGTTGGAAAGAAAAACTGGCGCTCCCATATTACTGTAGTATGGGAACCAGGATGGCGGACACCTGAATATAGTGTGTGTACCAGGTTAGGGTTAGGCCATAATTTTATTCCAAATTTTCTTATTTTAGTTCTATTACAGTTCGGAGACTAGCCAAGTGACTCCTGTAGTACTGTAGTACAGTAGTACTGTAGTATTTATAGCTGGAATTATGGCCTAACCTGGTTCACATACTATGTTCCGGTGTCCGCCAGCTTGGTTTACATACTTCGTGAGTACTGAAAAACCTGTATACCGTAACTGTATAATGGCGCATTCATATGATAGGTTTTTCATATTTATCTCAATGAGAGAAAATTTAATAGGATGACTTAATCATATAGCGAACCACGGCCTCTCGTTCAGTTGCTAGTCCATATCCAGTTAACCAGTTTTTCGCTTCAGATGCATGAACTTGATGGTGAAAAAAGCCGCAACGAACTTTAGTTTTTATTGGCTGCAAAATTGGAAATTTTCTGGGCTGTTAACATTTTGATCTGTTTTCGTTGATTCTCTCTAATCTCGGTTTATCATATATCTTTGCACATCAGCCCTGAAACGGTGAATTTCTAAAAATTTGCATATACAGATACATGCCAACCCTACAACCTTTACAGCTCTACGCTCTTTCTTGAGAACTTAACATGGTTAGAGATGCTGTAGCTTTTGGAATTAAGTCAGCATAAAGTCGTTTCGCTGATTATTTGTTAAGGCAATAATTGGACGAATTGACGTAAAGTTTTAGTACCAAATTTTTATTATATTTTTTGTGCAAATTAGCTGGCTGTAAATTAGAGCATTGCTTTTTTTGTTTAGTAATTTTTTCACAATTGAGTCTCCTTCACTTGATTGAGTTCCCATAACTTTGCTTAGAAATGAGTCTTCTTTACTTCTAAGTGAGTGCATAATATGTCCTTGATTTTAGCAAATTTTCTAAAAATATTCTCCATTTTCAGATGAGACCTTCTGTCGAAAAGACTTTATGCGTGAAAAAAGAATTTTGTGCGTTCGACCATTACCATGTTCTGTCGTACATGTCTCAAGTAGTTGCTGGTACGAATTATATCATTAAGGTCAGTGCTTTATACCAGTGTTTCTCAACCTATGGGTCCCGACCTAAAACCGGTTTGCCTGTTTGTCTGACAAAAATATTTTTGGTCAATGTTTTTTACAGTAAAAGCAAATTCGATTTATTAGTCCATTAATTGTATTGACCATAATATTCCATTGATATATCCATCAGGTAGTTCCCATATGGATTGAAAGAACATCACATACTTGAGAAAAAAATTTGATATTTATTATTCTCAACCCGAGTAGGTAACATAGGTGATATATCTTGTCCTATAGTGACACCATTCATTCTTTAATAATGTTGTTTTGTAACAGTTTTCCCATAATATTCAGTTATGCAGAATTCACACCCTCGTAGCTGTTTCCCTGATCCTATCGATGTCCTATGATAAATGATAGAAATGACGTGTAAAATTGTTTTAGATTCGAAATATGCGTAGCCCGTGATAAACAAAGTAATTTTTTAAATAGTTTCGGAACTTATCCCGCCAAGAAGTATTTTAAGTCGTCGGTTGGGTGCGAGCTTTCAACCGTTTACTGTCAAGTTTCAGTAATGCGTAATCCACTACATTATATCTGTCCCTTTTGACTTGAGCTGCTTTAAATCTCTTGTGACCCGGTATTGGCCAGCATTTAATGCATCAAATAAGTACACTAACTCAGTTTCAATAGCTATTGGCATTTTAGTGGCTGTGCTTCGACAACATGCCCTCTGCTTGACTTAATTGGACCAAAACTACAAAAAATGATAAGTTAAGCTTAATTTTATATTTCTGAGCCGGGCTTCATAATGTCCATTAGCCATTGTTGTTTTGATATGACCGTTACTATGAAATATTTGCCCAAGTTTTTTGGAAGCAAGACTCAAAATATGATATAACGGTGTTATAATTATATTTCAAACTTAAATATAAAAATTTAAATCGAAACTTCAAATCAAAACTGATTAAATATTGAAACAAAGTTAAAAAGGGAGAGATTTTGCCAAAGTTGTCACAGTCAAATTTTGATTTGAGAATTTACTTAAACAATATTTACTAATATTGACTCATTGGCCATTGCTATTTCCTTATTTCAACCATATGTTGTAGAAAGCCATTGAGACTAACACATACATAAGAAAATGCTGAATTTGCATATTATATAGAAAGTCCCAGTGACTCAGAAGTCCATATGTTATCCTCATTCATTTTGGATATTAAATTTAGATGAGCTGCTCGATAACCATAACCATTTTTTATCTTTCTTAATTATGTTTGTACGATGTTTACTTTCGACATGTGAAACAATAAACTACCGGTACCGACTATAACAGTTGACTACTTGCTGCCAAAATATATGGAGTATTTGAATCAATTCGGCATCAATTATTTTCAAATTATAATATTTATAATAATTTAAAATATTCATTCCGAGCAATTGAGGACAGGGCCTTCATTTATTGTTATGTTCATTTTACCTTAGACCAGGGGTTCTCAACCTTTTTTCTGTCAAGTACCCCCCGAGTCACGAAACAATCAACGCGAACCCCCGGAAATCAGACACCGAACAAAGTTGTGATATATTGACTAACAATTTGTTGCAACACCAATTTATTGACCTTAGGTAACTTAATTAAATCGTCTTGTTGATGGTATTGCCCTTGTCGTCTGCCTAACTAATGAATTTATAAAATCTCTCCAAGGTTTCAATAAGCATAATCACTTCTCCAATGCTCGCAGCTCGCTGTCTTTAGTTTAGAGATTTCACAGTTTGCATGCCGCAAAACCTTGAATTTCACATTGTTGCGCCACAATCACAACAACGCAACATCAGGGAAAATCTACGTTTCAATTGGCATCTAGTTTCAATGGGCACGCATTTTTCTATGGTAGTAATAAAGGATATTGAAAAAGATCATCACACAAAAACTCGACTGCCATCCCAGTACCCCTGGAAATCTTCTCGTGAACCCCTGGGGTTTCGCGAACCCCAGGTTGAGAACCCCTGCCTTAGACACTTATTTTGATATATTACACCATAGTAGGCTATTAGTTTATGACCAGGGGTGTCGCAAATCCAATATTTAAATCAATTATCTTCAAATGATATTATTTAGGAATATAGGAATAATACTTATTTTGAATAATTGAGGGCATTGGTTTTTATGTTATTTGAATACTGCATGACAGTAGCTTAGCTGCTCAGAACGAGGACGTCGAAAACGAATTGATTATTTCAATCAGTCCAGGATTAATTTTATTCGATACTCCAAATTTCGGGAATAATTAAAACTAGTTTAATTCAATTTCGAAAATTATAAATAATAATAAACCAATCAAATTCATAAAATATAGCGCAATATTGACTTGTGCATGTTTTTTTAATCAAATATAACCCAATTTAAAATGCATACAAAGTGACTCCAGAAAATAGGAACTCATAATTTTTGTGATATCTCGTAAGTTATTTAGCACTTTTGCTGTTTGTTGTTATACCCAGAAGTCTCAGCCAGCTGGGAGGCTTTGCACAAACGTTATGTTCTCCTTAGAATATGTTTCAAATAACCTGGTTACTGTTTTGGTGTCATCCCATCCTACATTTAAATTGGGTGAAATTTTTGATTTTATAGTAAATGGTAATACCATTAAAATTTGCCTGATTTTATAGTAATTACTATTGTAGTTCTCGTTTATCATACAATATGATTTATTTAACTTACAATTGTAATTACTACAAATCGAAATTTTTTGAACATCTCGTATATAAGTCTCAATATACAAACGAGAATATCTGTCAGAGACCGAAGACTTATTGATCGAAAGTTAGGGGATCCCCAAAACAACGCTCTTACTCCATAGTGACACCTTGTGTCTCATCACTAATTAACTAATAACGCGATCAATAATTATACGACATGATTCGTCCAAAATCAATAGGCTTCTGGTCTGAGATATGATGAATGCACAGGCAAAATCTGGAGCAGATTCAATCTCGCTTTCGTGAGATATCGCGTGCATCTAACAGACATACAGACAGACAAATACATTTCAACATAATTACCGATTAAAATCGATAAGTAACAATATGTTATTTCAAAATTTATCCATGGTGTTAAATTATCACTCAATTTTGGCCTCCTTCAAATCAGCAATATTTATTACAAATCATTCTTTCTAATTCCAGATTGACATCGGGCAGAAGGAACCCATTGCAATCAAAGTGTTCGTGCCTTTACCATACACCGAGAAACCCCCTGAATTGGTAAAAGTTGTCCAGATGGAACCAAACGAACGATTTGGATTCGAGCTGTTTGGAAAGAAAAAACACCCAAAGCGTGTTGATTTGTATTAAATCTATTTGTCGTACTTTTGATTCACAGATGCAGTATTGTATTGTATATTTTATGATACTTTGGCTTATTTTTTGACAAGCAGCAATTGGCTGTTATATTATCATGATCATTTTTAATTGAACTTAAAAATTTAATCATCAACCGTCAAACAGGAGCTCTTTTTTATTAATGTAATCATAACATACTTATCGATTATTTTCACGGGCTTTACCTAATTTTAGTGTGGACATAGACTTTGTCAAACACTCAACTGATGTATATGTATGTAGGGTACCCATTTTTTTTTTTTTTTTTTTAAGGGGGGTGCGGATTGGAACCCTCCCTTTTTTTAAATGAGAAAAAAATGGTTCTCCAGAAGTATGCGCACCAAGATGTCGTACAATCTGAATCCTAACGGGTACACACATACTATTTTCAGATTGTGCGCCAGCTTGGTGCGCATACTTCTGGGGGGGTCCAAAAAAATTTCCCATTTGCAATTGTACATAGAAATTTTTTCATAGCTTAAAAAACTTTTTAGAATCTAAAGACTCTTGAGATTCCACGTTTTCTGGCAACTAGTGGGGCTCACTAAATGTTACGGCCTAGCTTGGCATTCAGAAGTTTCAGATTTTTTTGTTTGAAAATCCTGGGCTTACACCCTGGCATGCATGCACAAATATATCGCCCCTAAATTAACTTACATCACATCTCAAGGTTTCGGGAAAACCATTTTTTTAATAATTTTGTTCCACCAGCCAAACCTGAAAATGGGCGTAAGTCAAAACTTGAAATTGAAGACTAGAATAGGTAGACTTAAAGATGACCCCTTGTCATGAGATCAGAAGTCCATTTCAGTCCACTTCAGGCAAAAAAAGATATGGCTTTAATCAAAGAGTGAATAATAAAAATTAATTGATTGAATGATAATTAACCTTAAATGACTTTTATAAGAGAGTTTTTCACACCTCTTTTCGCACCTGAGACTCAAGTTAGGCAACAAAGATCCCTTTAGAATTTCTTTGTTTCATTTTTGATTATTGTAATCAGCATCGTGAATATACAGGATGTCCAAAATTTATTTTTGGCGAAATCACTTGGACACCCTGTATGTTCTTGTACTGTTGTGAAGTTCGCCAAATGGCAGTGGCTTCTTGTGCAGGATTTTGTTTGGGGGTGAAAGGTATATTTAAAAACCTTCAATATTCAAGATACCGTATTTGCTCGTTTTGTAGCCCGGGCCCATATTTTTTTAACCAAACTCACTAATCGGGCCCTTATTCAAACCGGCCCTTATTCAAGCACGGGCCCTTGTTATCTTTAAGGTAAAATTGCGACGCCCTATCATTATTGAAATGACGCACTCCGCGACGCCCAGTTTGAGAACCACGTGTGAGTGTTATCTACCAGCGCTTAAAATTCAACAGCGTTGTGACAAAAGCGCTTCTTATTTCCTATTGTTCTCTACCACTGAAAAATCAGCTTTTACATCGGGCGGGTATTCAAGCACCGTCCCTTATTTATTTTTATGTTCTGTTCACATGGGCGGCTATTCAAACGGGCCCTTAATGAAGATCGGGCGGTAAGACGAGCATATACGATAGTCTAAATATGTTTTTATGTTTATGACACTATACTTGACATTATATCATAATTGACATTTTAGTAATGTTGCAATAAATTTCCTCAACCAATTTTTGATATGTTGGTAATCGGACTTAGCCTTTGGTTAGTCGTATTCTTATACATAGAGTTTGACAAGATAATCAATGTACGGGGCAAATTTTTTTCAAGTGAGGCCCAAATGATAAAATGGAAGAGGTAATTAGAGATTCCAATGCCCAAGAATTTTGTTGGAAATTTTAAATATAAACGCAATGTATGATCGTTTCATATATGAATAAAAACCATTTGGCAAAAAATAATGTTGGAAAAAATAATGTAATGTTGGATGTATAGAACTTTTTTGTGTATCACTGCCATGATTGAGATTTGCTGCCTTCCACAGTTTGCTGACCACTGAAGTGCGGGGTATAAGCCAGGGATGACGAACCTTTGCTAGGAATGTGTACAAAAATTATATCTTAATCATGAAGATGAAGAATGGGTAATGGATATTTAACCAAAGTTTGCATCAGTGCAATCTTCCCCGCGAGTCTTATAATCTTTAGTAAGTATGGTACACATGCAGCATTATCATGTCTTATATTTGACTCCGTGAAATTTATGTGCGAAGCCCAGATTCGCGTGCATGTAAACTACTGAACTGAAAAATGTTTGCATAAATTTCCCGTGACTTGGTGGTTCACCAAAAGAAGGGGTGCTCCCGAAGTATGTGCACCAAGATGGCGCATCTTGGTGCACAACCGGAACCCTAACCTGGTACATATACTATTTCAGTTTGTTCGACATCTTGGTGCACATAATTCTGGAACTCCAAAAAAAGATATTGAGTCACTTTTGGACCTTCAAGGATTTCCCATCCCAGGTATAGGCGATATATGAATGAGGTCAGGAAAGGTAGTAAGCTTTAGCCAAGTTTAAAACAATCAAAATGGATTTTTGAGGATAATCGTGTTTATTAGTTTGCTCAAATCAATGTCCTGGACGACCAACTAAATATGAGGATGTCGGGGAATCGAACAAAACCATGGAGTTTAAAACTACACATAGAATGTAAAAAAATAGTAAATAACATGTGTTTCATCTTCAAAGTAATAAAAATGGTACCAGAAAAAAATCATCTTTCAAAAAGTTGGGGAATATCCTACTTGGAATATTTCATCCATCCAGACGAAATGTAACCCTAACTTACATTAAGATGTGTTTTTATTGAATATGTATATTGAATGTATAAACGCCAAATTATTAGGATCTTCTTAGAATTTTTATGAGCATTTCACTCGAATAGTATTCTGGGAGATGAACTTTTTCTCTGACACCTGAGACATCCTAAATCGGGTCGGCAAACGAATTCTTTGCGACCCTCGAACTACTTCTAATATGTAAAACAAAAGATGATTCTAAATGTGTTGTATCCAAATGAATTTATGTGGTAACAAGTGCGCTGTACGTTGTAATTATAAGTCAGGTTTATTTAGATTTTTAAAATTTGAAAATGTCGGGAAACAAACGGAGGGAAGTTTGCGATGAGTACCGAACATTTAAGAGTGCTTGAAAGGAAAAATAGTTTTTTTCCCGCGCATTTCAAAACCAGTTTGCTTGCTATGCCAGGATAGCGTCGAAGTTATTAACGTATTCAATGTTAAACGTGTCATTGCAAATACAAAATTCGACCCTTGTCACTGTTAAAAAGTAAATAAAAACAATGTTTTGTTTGATAAAATATATAAAAAAAGGCAATATACACGTCTCATTGTGGCAGGCTTTTAACACAGTGCGAGTGCGCCATAATTAGAATTTGAATGTGGCGATTGTTCACAGGCGGAAATGAATGCGGCCCGGCGCTACCGGGAAAGTGGATATTTGGTTCGCAAGTTTGCCGATCACTGTTCTAAATAGTGCTTCAGCTCTGACGATACTATTATCGAATTACTATACTATTATTGATACCCGCCCACTTAGACACCCAATATCCATGTACAAATTTCAATTGACACTAGAGGCGATGAAGGCTTGTGCTAGGACTCTCATTGCAACGACGACTCAACAAGCATTCTCGCTCGCTTTCTAGTAACTTTTTATTTCTTATTAGTTAGCCTTGAATGTTGCGAGGTTTGCAGCACGAGTACGGTCTTGAAGATCTGCAAATACATGCAAATTCCATTATTTGCACTGAATTTGTTTATTAGTATTGTTGTGACATAATAAAATCCCATCTAGCGTATAACAACCTAATGAAGTTTCAATCTTAAATTTAAACCAGCAACAACAACATAAACCTCAATGCTATAATCACCAATATGGAAGTAACTAGTTTTGTTTGCTTACTTCACATCTGGAACATATCAGTTGTCACATCAAGGGACTGAAACCTATGGGCAGTGGGTATATTTACTTGGCTAACACAAACAGTTCACGAACTCGTAATAGAACTAAAATAAGGAAAATCTGAAAATTATGGCCCAACCCTAACCAGGTATACAACCTACGGGAGGAAGTACCATAACAGTTATTGAAAACTTTTGTTGGTTCATAGGAGGGGGAGTAAAAATTAGCAATTGGGTCTGTTGGCAATTAAAATATAGTGGCCGACCCAATGGCTAGTTTTATATCAACATCGAACTTAGAAAAATGAAGTTAGACTACCCCCCATCTGCCACATTTCAAATCATTAATGAATTAATCACTATTGGAATACGAGAGCTTTTTCCGACCCACTTTTCACAGTCTCTTGCGAACCAAGGGAAATTTTTTCACTTATCCTCAATTTACATGTAAATTCAATTCATGTTTAACGGTGTCTGTCGTTAGGAAATTACACTGATAAAAATACACCACAGACTTTAGGTTGCAATCCTAAGTTACCTAGAAATTCAATTATTTTTACTGAGCACGCTTAAACGTATCGTTCTGTCATATAAATATGAAATATGAACAATCAATACGTAATTTAATAATCGTGTCGTTAATTTGTTTCACGGTCAGAAATCATAAAACATGGCCGCACATAATTCATAGATCCAGTGAGGGTTTTATCTCAGGACCGTAGTTAGTCGATGGATGCTTGATGTTCTGAGCAGTCGAGAGATATCGATGTACACGAGTAAGGAAATTATTGTGATGTAACAAGGAAAGTGGGTCTAAGAAGATTTTGAAAATATAGTTTATTGACAAAGGTATAGACTTCAGAGACGCAGCCATCAGGAATTTTCAAAGGATGGTTTTGAAATTTCTAATCGTTAAGTTATACCGTAACAGCCATTGGGTCAGAAAACGTTGGGTTTTAAGAGTCAAGCGGTGTAATGAGCGTTTCAAAGCTACGAAAATTGCTATGTAAAATTCAGAAGAAGGCTTTTTCTCAAATTTAAAAAAAGGTTGGGCGATCCCCTGGTTGTTGCTATTCAAAACTGCTTAACCACGATACAAATAGACTAATCGATCTCAAATTTTCGTAGCTAAAAGATGGAATATACGGATAGAAAGCTATTAGTTTCAAATTTTTCTGATTATTTATAATTGTTTTTTACCATTCGCAAGAGCTTCATATGACATTCGGTAAAATTCTTTCAACATTCGGGTATAATATTCCTGATATTTCGTTAGTTATTTTCCCAAAAGATTGATCGAATAAGGTAGGAGTGAGATGGCAATCTTTTGGTTGAAAATATTTCCTTTGGCATAATAGGTTGAGTACCAGTGGACGGATTAATTTTCTCTTACCTTTCCACAGAATTTCTCAAATAAGTGGGTGAGGTGAAGTAATTCTTTCGCGTTAAATCTTCCATCAGTTCTTTAGTTCAAGGGAGTACAAGCTTTCATACGGAAGGGCCAGATGCAAATAACTGAGTGAACCGCGGGCCACACCTTTATTCGACATGGACTTTCGAGTTGTTGCAGGCAAAAATAATTCGACATGACACGCGTTAATTGGACTCACGTATATATAGGTTTTGCAGCGCGAAGGGATTGGAATTACTTAGCACTTACTACTAAATTCAAATCTCGTTTCACGGGCCGCGCGTCATTCAAAATTCGCACTTCGCCGTGGGCCGCGCAATTTTTCCTTGTGAGCCGAATTTGGCCCGCGGGTTGCACAGCACTGCTCTAGTCAATGGTAGGCACTGTTTTGTGAGAGCAAGGAAACTTGTATATGTAGCACTTCGGCTATCAGAGTTGCTTTTAACTCTGTTATCATTCCTTCCAATTTCAGTTGATGGATCGGGATCTCTTCAGCAAAATTGTAACATTTCTATTAGTACTCTTTCCACTTTCAGTTTATGTATCCGATCTTGCTCTGAGCAAAATTTTTCTTGTAGTACCTCTATCTTTGCCGATTTTACTTATAGGTAATGAATTTCTAATTCTGCTCGAGCAAACTTGTATCAAAACCTATGAAGAGTAAGTTTCGAGGGAAGAGTAATTGCCAAGGGAATTTATTGATACCATATATTGTTTTGACCCTCATAGATGTATTAGATGAAGTAAAAATACTTGAACAATTACTGATAAATAAACAACAAACGTAGTTAAGATAAACTGACTTCATAACAAAATTAACATTGTAAAAAAACTTTATGGACGCCTTGTGTTTATATATCTTCCGTAAATATCCCATTCTAGTATATATTCTGGTTTTGTTTGTGTGTTTTCAATTTTAGTGGCGGAATCGGATAAATCGCATTCTCAGTCATAACCGTGACTTTTTATGTTTTGTTACGTCCCTTAATCTCCATTGTTCAAGTTTTGATGTTATTATTGGGTAAGAATGCTTTCGAGTTGCCGCGGTTTCATGCCAGATTACCTTCGAATCATTTGTTAGCATTTAATAGCGTCTCGCAGTGAAGCAATTTCGATATAGGAAAGAAAAACAGGCCCCATGTACGGGTAGAAAATATGTTCTAAGCAAAGTCTCACGCACTCACTGGAAAGTAAGGAAAACTCATCTCAGAGTGAAGTTATGGGCACTCACTCAGAAGTAAAGGAGACTCATCTCCGAGCAAAGTTACGGGCACTCACTCAGAAGTAAAGGAGACTCACCTCTGAGCAAAGTTATGGGCACTCACTCAGAAGTAAAACAA